CAAGTATATATTGTATTACGAAAATAATATATATATATATATATATGCTATTGATTTTATTTAATAATAAAGAAATGTTTAAAAAATTTAAACAGGCCATCAAAAAAAGGTTATTTTTAAAATTTTATTGATTTAAGTTTTTTTTTGTGGGGTTTAAAAAAATCTCATAATCAATATATTTTTTATTTGCAAAAATTAGCTAATAAACTAGTTTTTCCTTTTTTCCTGTTTTGAGTATAGTTTTCAAAGTTTCAAATGATTTTTACATTTTTGTTAAAATTGTAAAATTATGTAAAAATCATTCTAAAATTAATGGAATTTTAAATATTGTTCCAAATTGAATCTCATTTTTAAAAAAAACCTGATAAAGGCTTATTAATAAAGCTGAAAACATTAGTTAGATTAAAGAGTAATTTGCTGGAAAAGTACATAAGGTATTTTGTGTGACTCTAATTACTATTACATGACTTGAGAAAACTTTCCATTCTTAAACATTTAGAAAAATTGGGGATTTTCAAGGCTGGTAGAAATAAAACTGCCATCAATTATAGAGATAATGATATCCTATCTATGACTTGGAGAGCTCTATATGAAATATGATATTGTTATGTGAGCTTATGTCATCTATATAACATCTAATGAAATGGCATTTTAAAGAATTTAAAATCTGCATTTAATTGCATGTGTTACTTTCAAATTTTTGTAAAACCTGAAGATGGCTGTTTTAAAACAACTGAAAACATTTATTTTTATTTAGATTATAAAGATTAGTGTTATAAACTGCTGAATTTTTGGTTTTTTGAGTGTTTTTATTCTAATATGATAGTTGTCCAGTCCCAAACAGAATTTGTCACTAATGTTGATATGCTGCCAGTCATGACAATCTATGCTTCTCTGTCATTGCACTGTGGCTAATGGGGTGATAATCACGGGATGTATGGTAGTTGTCATGTATATAAATCTACCTCTACTAGTTGCCTGCCATGGTATGGGAAGTTGGGGTTCTGTAGAAAGGCTTTCACCTGTCTTTGGATGATGAACAAAGATACTGTTGCAGCTGTTAATGTATACAGTAGAGCGTCGATTTTCCGAATCAATTGGGGACTGGGGTTGTCCGGGTAACTGATATTTCGGATAACTGATTTACGTACGAAAAAATAGTTTAACATATCCGATGTCAAAATTTTTCTCCATTGCGTGTCGCTTCGCGTTGAATTTTCGTCGATGTTAAGTCTAACAAAGACTATTGTATCGTTAAAAATTATTTTTTTATTTTGTACAAACAAAATAAATATATTGAAAAATATAAAAATAATAATAAAAATTATACTTCAGATGTTAATTTAGTATCAAAAACGTAAAATATTTGAGTAGCCCAAGACATAGCCAAAGATTGAAGCGCCACAGCACTGGCGAAAATTTAAATTTGCCAACTGGAATTGTTTCGGATGATTGACTTTTGGAAAATCGACGCTCTACTGTATAATGTTTCCTATGATATGGCAATCATCTCTCCTAGTGGTCTGTCTGGGGTGTCCAAAGTTTACTTGCCATATGTGTATTCTCACATTCACTATCTGCACTAAGGTAAGAGCAGCCCAGATAGTGGAAAGTTCAGTGAAACACTGTATCAAGATGCTAAGCACAACCTTTACAACCTTTACAACCTTGTGTGAAAGGTAATGCTAAGCATTACCTTTCACATTACCTTACTTGTGTGAAAGGTAATGCTAAGCATTACCTTTCACACAAGTGCAAAAAGTGTGCTTAGTGTTTTAATTATACTGGTGAAGATCCAACTTCAACTATTATTTAGACAATTCTATCTGGGGCATAACTTTAGACATTTATGATTATGAAATTCTACATACTATATGATGATGATTTATTTTGCAAAATATTAAATAAATAATAATAATACCCTGTAATAGTTATAATTTCTTAAAATCAATATGAAGAGTGTGCAAAGAATTTGCAATACTGTATCTGCAGTTACAATATTGAC